TGCTGAGGTGCCAGGCCAGGCCTCTTGTATGTCCTTGAAGAGGGGAAGAAGGGGCAGCTGGCCTTAGTTTTTTTCTCCATCCGTCAGGTGGAGCCCCATGAGCCTTCCCTTACCCTCTGAGGTTAGTCCAAGTGCCCTTATCTGAGCAGAGCGGTGGGATTAGGGGTCTCCAGATCTGCACGTCTGGGTCCTCTGGATGAGGCATGATAGGGACAGCTTTGTATTTCATCCAGGTGGCAGGAACTGAGACCACTTAGGCGTCTAGCCCAAGTCCTGCCCTGGTTTTGATACCCCCAAGGAGCCCTCAGAGCCATTCCCATTCCTGGGACAGTGACCTGCCCTGCTGGGAGTGGCTATGGGAGGTTGTTCTGGGGACCCAGCAAAGGACTGGCTGCTGAGTTGAAGGCCACCTTGCTCTCCTGAGCCTCAGCACAGCTCACATCCGATCAGGAGGTCCACAGTCAGCCAGCGGAAGCGACCCCTTAGCACAGGCCTGAGTAAGCAGTAGGTGCTCAATCTGTGCACAACTGACCAAGTGTTTACCGGAAATTCAAATCTGATTTTTCTCAGTGTGATCCAAACTTTGGGTTCCCACCCTGTTCCTCAGTCCCGTTGCTGGGAAAAAATGGCTTTGGGGAGAGATCAGTGCCTTTTTTATTTGTTTGTTTGTTTTTTGAGACGGAGTCTCACTCTGTCACCCAGGCTGGAGTGCAATGGCACAATCTCAGCTCACCGCAACCTTCACCTCCCGGGTTCAAGCAATTGTTCTGCCTCAGCCTCCTGAGCAGCTCGGATTATAGGCACGTACCGCCACACCTGGCTAATTTTTGTATTTTTGGTACAGACAGGGTTTCACCATGTTGGTCAGCCTGATCTCAAACTCCTGACCTTGTGATCCACCTGCCTTGGTCTCCCAAAGTGCTGGGATTACAGGCGTGAGCCACGGCACCCGGCCGACATCGGTGCCTTTAAGGGCACCTTCAGCTCTGATGCTGTCAGGCTCTAGGATTCTCTTCAGCACCTCCCAGGGTAGATGAGCCACCCTGAGTGGCACTTCATCCTCCCAGCACACTGGTGGTCAGTATGACCATATTCTACCAAGGAGGCTCAGAGAAGGGAGGGGCTTATCTCAGACAGTGACTGGGGGCAAAGGTAGAGTAAGAACCTGGGCTTCGAATTCCCAGTGCACCATTCTTTCCCCATGCCATCCTCCCCTGCCACCTGCCATGCTGCCTCAGCTTCTCCAAACCAAAGCCCACTTCCTCCAAGTTGCCCTCCTGGAATGCTGCCTCCACCCCTGGAGCTGACCTCCCCAGGACAGTGAGGAGCCACATCTCCTACTCTGGTGCTGCTAACAGCTGTGAGGCCAGTTTGGTGGTGAAGAGGGTCTGGGGAGCATCTGGCACAGGCCCCCGGGTTCTCAGGGGCTTCACATCTATCTCCACTGCCCACGTCCATCACTCGTTACGTGCTCTGCACCTGCCATGTGGGAGGGGCGTCACCGCGAAATGGGGGAGCGTGGGAGGATCTGGTGACACAGAGTAGGTACTTGATAAATGTGTGTGGAGAAAAGGAGAAGAGGGAAGGAGGGAGGGAGAGGGCGGCTGAGTAAGTTGGTGTCTTAGTGGATTGCCACATGGAGCGTTGGAAATAGATGCTCGGTGCTGGAAAGATGGGTAGACGGACAAGTTGGTGAGTGAGCTGTTGAATGAGGGAAGGAAGGCTGGATGAAGGAGCGAGTGCCTGGGAGGAGGAATGTTCACCCCGTGGCTCTGAGTGTTACAGCTAAAGGAGGATAGCTCTCTAATCCCTGCCCTACCCATTTGACAACTGAGAAGACCGAGAGAGGGCTGGGCAGAAAGAAAACTGCGGTTCTGTGGGCTGGCAGCCTCTGGTTCTCCCCTACCCCCCTTCCTCTACCCCCATCCCCCGCTTTCCCCTGCTGGGGTTGGGGAATGTTCTGGGAAGGACGCCCTTTTTCCACCTCCTTGCTCCTTTAAACCCAGTTTCCGCCAGGCACTAGGCGTGGTGTTGGGGATGGGAGGGAGCCGGTGACCCCCACAGGGGCTCTTTTAGTCAGAGACAGCCCTGCCAGGAAACAGAGGAAGCTGCTCACCCTGTCAGAGGAGTTGCAGCGTGGCCGAGGCAGGAGAGTGGGGACCTCAGCTCTGGCTTCCCTTTCCCCAACACACTTGGGACCACCAGCGTGCTGCAGGGACAGGAGGCTGCCTGTGAGTGTGGGTGCGTCTTGGGGCCATGGGTCAGTGCAGGGGTTGGGGGTGGGGGGCGGCTGCACACAGGGAACTGTGACTGAGGGCGGGCTGGGGTCAGCGCTGACCTAAACGAGGCCCACAGAATTGGGGGGCCCCAGAGGAAGGGAGAAAAGGCCCAGAAAGGAAGAAGCAAGGTGAGCTCTGAAGCTAGATAGACACAGGATTTTGATGAATGCAGATGAGTTGAATCGCACTTTGTGTGAAGGGAACAGTGGAGCTGGAGGCTGGAGAGGGAGTCCGGCTCTCTGGCTGCCACTGGCTGTGTGGCCGTCTCCATGTCTTGGGGATGTGATGAGAGGGGAAGGGGCAAGGGTGGAGGGAGGAGCAGAGTGGCCCTGACATACTTCGGACAGGGCTGGAGGGCTTGGCGGGGCCTTGAATGTCAGGAAAAGGGTTTGGGCTTTTCCCCAGAGGGCAGAGGGATGCAAAGAAGGGTGTAGTCAGAGCGAGTTGTTGGCAAACCCCCCACCACGGGGAGAGTCCAGCCCAGGAAGAGGCTGGGGTCTGTTCCGATCCCGGACTTAGGACCCAAGAGCTGGTGAGTGATGTGAGAGCTAAGATCAGCTGCTGCCTGGAGGTGAGAACCAAGCAAATCCCCCTCGAGGCCAGCCCCCGGCCCGGAACTGGGAGAACAGCTCAGCTCTTCTAGGCCCTCAAAAGCAGACCAGGGAGCTGGGGCGACAGCCAGGCCAGTCTTTCCTGACACAGCCCTGAAGGTTTGCCCAGAAAGCTGTGCCCCGGATCCCCTCCTGCAGGCCCCTGCCTCCCTCCAAGAGGGAAGGGAGGTGGTCCCAGGAGGATCAGTCTCGCCGGCTCGTGGGAGAGGCAGACTGCAGTCCCCAGGCATCTAAGACAGAGGATTGTCCCTGGGGGTGGGATCTGAGGGTGAGGGCCACCCAAAGGAAGGTTGAAGGACACAGCACCCCTCTAACACCTCTTCTCCTCAAAACCCTCTTCCCTTGCAGACTGGTCTCCTCCGACTCTGTGAGGAGAGAGGCAGGGAGGCCAGAGGCTGCCTCTTGAAGGTCAGCCCCACGGAACCAGCAATTTTCTTTCTCCTCAGATTTCTTTGTCAGACCCTGTGTGAGAGCACACCAGTCTGCAAGGACAGAGGGTTATGGTGAGGAGGAGAACATGGTAGAAGGGCGCTGTGTCCCTCAGCCTTCCTCCTCACCCAGGCTGTCCTTACACCCTTCTCCACCCATGGAAATCCTCCTAAACACCTGGACCTTGCTCTGTCTTTCATTCTGCTCTGAAAAGTCTCTTCCATCCAGTGGCTCACACTGGTCTCCTCCATCAGACTAGCATATCTGTATCTGTATTCCTGTATCTCCATGTCCACCTTTACACTACACCTTCATGTATCTAGCTGGCAGGGTGGACTCAGTGAATGCCTGCCATGTGAAAACAAAAGAATGAACACGGGAATGAGAATGGCCTGAACCAATGAATGAAGAGATGAGTGGACGTTCTCTGCTTGTGTTAATCCTGGCTTCCTGGGCTCTGCTATGGGGGAGCTAGTGTGTTTCTTCCTCTGACCTCCCCGTGGTACCTACCTTGTCCTAGCTGGGCACCCAGCACTCCTAGCATATGGGCTAAAGCCCCACAAAGAATCTTTGATAACTGAAGGTGGCATGGAGTATGGGATGCAGACTACAGAATTCAACATTATCATTTTGCACAGAATTGGGGTAAAATAGCTTCACCAAAATGAAACTGTAATTTGGGAGGCATGTATTTTTCTCTGATATAACTTTTAAAAATCCCATAACCTTACTTAGTAGGTATATTAAGAACAGCAAACACTTGGCCCTATGCCAGGCACTGATCTTCACAACAATCTTATAAGGCAGGTACTATCTCATCTCATTTTACAGGTGGGGAATCTGGTGGACTGAGGTTAACTAGTGTGCTCAAACCACATAGCTCATCCATGGCATAGCTGGGACTTGAACCTGAGCATCTGGATCAGAATCCATATACTTTGCCTGAACTCTTTACCACCTACTGAGTGCATCTGCAGGACTTCATATTTTTTCTGGGCCTCAGTTTTTCCCATCTGTAAAATGGGAAAAGAGGAGGATTAGACTCACTATCTCAAAGGCCCATTGGATTTAAGTTGCAAATTTTCTCTAGACACCAGTAATATGACAATGTCAGTTTAGAGGTGAATGTCTAGGAGTCAGACTTACCCCAGCAGGAAACCCCTTAGGGTATTTGTGCCACTGGCTCTCCCAAAACCCAGACTGAAAGAATGAGAGGAGGGACAAGATGTAGAATGCAATGGCATGGCATTTATTGAGCACTACCGAATGTCATCACTGCACATGTCACTGATGAGGACACTGTGATATGCCCCGCCTCACACAGCACGGAAGTGGGGGAGCAACATTTCAACCCAGGCCTGCCTAGCTCTGAAGTTGGCCAGGTAACCTACACGTCCCATGTCTGTGGGCTACACTAAGCTGCCTCTTCTGGACTGAGGAGCTGGGCTCTGGTTCTGACTCTGCTCTGACTCACGAAGAAAGAAGGAGCAGTCCCTGCCACTCACTGTGTCCGGATAAACAAATGACACGATCCCTCGCCCATCCGCCTTCAGAGACACTGTTTTCATTCTGGGCGCCAGGGGGCGCTGTGGTGTTAGAGGCTCTGCTAAACCCACCTTTGTAGCCTCAAGTGGAAAGATACAGTAGGGAACCGGGAATCACCTCCTTCCCTATTTTACAGATAACAAGACGTCTGCCAGAAGGACCATGTCTTTGGAAGGTGGAGTTCAGGCTGAGGAGATGGGTGCTGTCCTCAGTGAGCTCCTGGTGTGTGGACCCTTCATATTGGTTAACTAAGAGTTATCAGGGCCCTTTCTGCTCCAGACCCTGGGCTAAGACACAGAGAGACACGGGACATGGCCCCTCTCCTCAAGCGAGTCCTGGACTGTGAGAAGCACACAGATCCACCGTGACCAGTCTCCACACCTCAGGGAGCCCGGGGCAGCCCTGCACAGCATGATTTAGCGCTTATAACCTCATGACATCCCTGAGAGGCAGGCACCACATTCCCCCGTTTCTCCGATGAAATGAAATCACCACCTCAAGGTCACATAGCAAATGCATAGCAGAGTTGGGATTCAAACCCAAGTCCATCAATCTCCACTAACAGAGAAAGACATATGACCAGGGCTTTGAAGGATGAATAGAAGTTCACTAGGAAGGCTGAAGGAAAATGAGTACTATAGAAACGCAGTGAATCAGATTTCTCCCAAGCATGAGCTTTATTGTATCCCAAGTTTTCTCTAAGTGAGGTCTGTGTGGGGCTTCCACAGGGTGGTTAGAGTAGCAGAGTTGACAGAGTTGGTGCCCTCACTGTTCAGACAGGGAAATCAAGGCTCAAGTAGGGGCAGGGCCTGCTGGGTGGTGAGTGAGTACATCACTGACAGGCTGTGTATTGCTTTCCTAGCCTCTCTGAACGTAGGAAATCCAGCTGGGCAGCCATGGAGCGGGACAATGGCACAGGCCAGGCTCTGGGCTTGCCACCCACCACCTGTGTCTTCCGTGAGAACTTCAAGCAACTGCTGCTGCCACCTGTGTATTCGGCCGTGCTGGCGGCTGGCCTGCCACTGAACCTCTGCGTCATTGCCCAGATCTGCATGTCCCGCCGGGCCCTGACCCGCACGGCCGTGTACACCTTAAACCTCGCCCTGGCCGACCTACTGTATGCCTGCTCCCTGCCCCTGCTCATCTACAACTACGCCCAAGGTGACCACTGGCCCTTTGGTGACTTCGCCTGCCGCCTGGTCCGCTTCCTCTTCTACGCCAACCTGCACGGCAGCATCCTCTTCCTCACCTGCATCAGCTTCCAGCGCTACCTGGGCATCTGCCACCCACTGGCGCCCTGGCACAAACGTGGGGGCCGCCGGGCCGCCTGGCTAGTATGTGTAGCCGTGTGGCTGGCTGTGACAGCCCAGTGCCTGCCCACAGCCATCTTTGCTGCCACAGGCATCCAGCGTAACCGCACTGTTTGCTATGACCTCAGCCCGCCCAACCTGGCCACCAACTACATGCCCTATGGCATGGCTCTCACTGTCATTGGCTTCCTGCTGCCCTTTGCTGCCCTGCTGGCCTGCTACTGTCTCCTGGCTCGCCGCCTGTGCCGCCAGGATGGCCCGGCAGGGCCTGTAGCCCAGGAGCGGCGTGGCAAGGCGGCTCGTATGGCAGTGGTGGTGGCCGCTGCCTTTGCCATCAGCTTCCTGCCTTTTCACATCACCAAGACAGCCTACCTGGCGGTGCGCTCGGCACCGGGCGTCTCCTGCCCTGTGCTGGAGGCCTTTGCAGCAGCCTACAAAGGCACGCGGCCATTTGCCAGCGCCAACAGTGTGCTGGACCCCATCCTCTTCTACTTCACCCAGAAGAAGTTCCGCCGGCGGCCACATGAGCTCCTACAGAAACTCACAGCCAAATGGCAGAGGCGGGGTTGCTGAGTCCTCCAGGGCCTGGGCAGCCTTTATGTTTGCCATTGTGGCTGGGGCTCTGGGAGCCCCACCAACCCCAAACCATGCAGAGAATTAGAGCTCAACTCAGCTGGGCATGGAGTAAAGTCCCTCACAGGACCCAGAAACTCACCAACAACTATTTATTCAGCCCTTCTCTGGCCCAGGCCCTGTGGGCATGGAGATGATCAGGCCTGAGCCTGGCTCTTGAGAGGTCCTGGTCAGCCGTGGAGAGCTGGGGATACCACGTTAAGGTGCTCACAAAAATACAGTGTGACATGTACTGTCATCAAGGGGTATTGGCTGGGCGTGGTGGCTCACACCTGTAATCCAAGCACTTTGGTGGCCAAGATGGGCAGATCACCTGAGGTCGGGAGTTCAAGGCCAGCCTGACCAACATGGTGAAACCCCGTCTTAAAAAAAAAAAAAAAGGTGGGGGGTATGCTCCATGCGTTGAGTCACCAATGAAGGGGATGAGGGAAGATGAGAGCGGCAAGTGAGAGCTTCTGGGAAGGGACATTTGATCTGGGTTTTGAGGGATGACTATGAGCTCTCTGGAGAGGAGGGATATTCCATTTATTTAGCAAGCCTTTACTGACACATTGTGCTTAGGCCTGGGTTGGTTCTGAGACCCTAGAAGAACCAGTGCTAGCCCTGGTCCATACAGGCTCCCAACTGCTGGAAGTATGGACTGGCACAGCAACATCAGGGTTGTACAGAGGGAAGCATGGCTGGGGGGAGGGGGTACCCAGAGTGTGGCCATGACCCAGTCCAAGGAGTCAGGAAAGACCTCTCTGAGGAGGGAACATCTGAGGTAGGTGTCGAGGGCTGAGTGGGAACTTGGCAAGCAGAAGTGGGGAGCACTTTAATGCAGCCCCGGTATGCTCTATGCATATCCAGTCGTGTCAGCCTCATGCTGGGCTCTGCCCTGGGCAGACAGAGGACCGGAGCGGAGGACACATGCCCTCGATTGTGTGAAAGCTGAGAAAAGGGGAGCTGTGCCTCAGTCACCCTCCAGACAAGGGCAAGAGTTGGTCAGATGCTCCAGGCTGTGGGAGGTCAGTGGAGGGAGCAATAGCGTGGAGCTTCTTAGAAGAGGCAGGAGGCTGCCGCTGGGCACAGTGGCTCGTGTCTGTAATCCCAGGACTTTGGGAGGCCAAGGCGGGCGGATCACCTGAGGTCAGGAGTTCAAGATGAGCCTGACCAGCATGGAGAAACTCTGTCTCCACTAAACCTACGAAATTAGCTGGTGGCACATGCCTGTAATACCAGCTACTCGGGAGGCTGAGGCAGGAGAATCGCTTGAACCCGGGAAGTGGTGGTTGCAGTGAGCTGAGATTGTGCCATTGCACTCCAGCCTGGGCAACAAAAGCGATACTCCGTCTCAAAAAAAGAAAAAGAAGAAGAGGCAGGGGGCCAAGTGTTCATGTGCTCGTGCCTGTAATCTCAGCACTTTGGGAGGCCAAGGCAGGAGGAATGCTTGAGCCCAGGAGTTTGAGACCAGCCTGGACAATACAGTAAGACCCTGTCTCTGCAAAAAAATTAAAATATTACCCTGGTATGGTGGTGTGTGCCTGTAGTACTAGCTACTCAGGAGGCTGAGGCACTGAGTTCAAGGTTACAGTGAGCTAGGATCATGCCAGTGCATTCCAGCCTGAGCAACAGAGGGAGACCCTGTCTCTAAAAAAATTAAAATAAGCCAGGAGTGGTGGCTCATGCCTGTAATCCCAGTTCTTTGGAAGGCCAAGGCGGACGGATCCCTTGAGGTCAGAAGTTTGAGACCAGCCTGGCCAATATGGCAAAACCTCTTCTCTACTAAAAAATACAAAAATTAGCTGGGTGTAGTGGCAGGCGCCTGTAGCCCATGCTACTTCTGAGGCTGAAGCCCAGGAATCACATGAACCTGGAGGGGGAGGTTGCAGTGAGCTGAGATTGCACCACTGCACTCCAGCCTGGGTGACAGAGCAAGACTTTGTCTCAAAAAAAGAGAGAGAGGAGAGAGACAGAGAGAGAGAGATTGGCTGTAAAGCAACAGCGAGTTTCAATTAAATGGGGGATGGGCAGGCTGGGGTGGGGCCTGGGTGTGTGGAAGGGGGCGGCCAGGAAAAGAGCTGGATAGGGCCAGAGCAGTCAATGCAAGGATGAGCCCCAGATCCCTCTCCTTCATCCACCTCTTCAAATGTGGTTCTTTCAACTGTGGGGTATCTTCTGTATCTAGGGTACCTCCACCAGGCCCCAAAGTGAGGGGAAACAGCCATTCAACATTGCTTCATTCTAAACGGAGGAGCCAGCAGCTTGAGAGCCTCAGGGCCATGAGGAGGCTCCTTTGTGGAGGTCCCATGGCTGGAAATCTGCTGACTGGTTTCATGACAGACTGTTCCGCTGTGTTCCACTCCTGCCCTCTCAGGCCCATCGTTCTGACCTGTGGGTACCCAGAAAGCTGCCTTGAGGCCATCTCATAAGGAGGCAGGTCAAACACAGATCTGAGCCTTAAAAAGCCTTGGAAAGGCATCTTTACCAAAGGTCCCTGGAGGAGACAGCAAACTGGAATTGTAGCACGCAAGACCCCACACCCAGCTGGGCGCAGTGGCTCACGCCTGTAATCCCAGCACTTTGGGAGGTCAAGGTGGGCGGATCACAAGGTCAGGAGTTCGAGACCAGCCTGACCAACATGGTGAAACCCTGTCTCTACTAAAAATACAAAAATTAGCTGGGCATGGTGGCTCGGGTCTATAGTTTCAGCTATTTAGGTGGCTGAGGCAGGAGAGCCACTTGAACCAGGGAGGCAGAGGTTTGCAGTGAGCTGAGATCACGCCACTGCACCCCAGCCTGGGGACAGAGAGATACTTCTGCCCCGACACTCTCCACCAAATCCTCTTCCCCTCTGAGAACCGCCCCTCGGCCACTCCTTTGCAGCTCCTCATTCTCTCTGCCGTTTTTTCTCATTTCTCCTCCCTGACTCCTCCCCATCACTTCTCCTCCAGTCCTTGTGCCCTCCTCCCAGATCTGATTTTCTCATGTAGAACAATCTAGCCTGCCCTTGGCTGCTGGTGCACCACACAGACCCTGTAAGCCAAGAACAAGCCCTGGCTAACAGTCTTTTTAGAAGGCAAAGCATGGAGGGGAAAGACTGTATAGTTTATGCAATATTTTTCCTTTAGCTCCACCTAGTCCCCAAGGCTACTGGGCAGTAGGGTCATTTAGAGAGGGGCATTGGAGGAGTTAACTCCATGGTAATGTCACAGGTGTGCTTGCAGCTGGCTGAGGAAGTGGGAAAACCAGGCCCAACCCACCCTGGGAAGCCATTCAAAGTTTCCTTGCTAGAGAGGCAGACCATTTGGACAGAAGGAACTTTGACTCATAACCACAGTGAGAGTGGCGTGCGTTAGAAGACAGAGGCTGGTTTCCGTTCCCTGTACGGTGCCCTGCCATGCCAAGCAGGACACATAGGACCCACCTTGCATCTAGCTCCAAGTCTCAGACCAATCTTCTCAGTTGCCTGGGATGGGGGCTAGGGGATAGTGAGAGCAAGGGCAGAGGACAGGGCCTCTGCCCATAGCCCACCTGAGCCCCTGTAGAGAGTCCCAGATGACTGTCCCAGCCGACTTCCAAGAGCTGTGACCCTTTGGTTAGTCTTCCAGGAGTGGAAATTGTGACCCACAGGTAAATTCCATTTCAAGCTTCCCTTTGTGAGGCTGACTAGCATGGAAGGTGCAGACTCCAGAGCCAGATCATCCGGGTATGTGTCCTGGCTCTACCATTTACTAGCTCTGTTATGCTTGGCAAGTTATTTATTTCTATTTATTTATTTATTTTTGAGACAGAGTTTTGTTATTGTTGTCCAGGCTAGAGCACAATGGCGTGATCTCAGCTCACTGCAAACCTCTACTTCCTGGATTCTAGTGATTCTCCTGCCTCAGCCTCCCAAGTAGCTGGGATTACAGGCACCTGCCACCATGCCCGGGTATTTTTTATATTTTGGTAATGACGGGGTTTCACCATGTTGCTCAGGCTGGTCTCGAACTCCTGACCTCAGGCGATCCTCCTGCCTTGGCCTCCCAAAGTGCTGGGATTACAGGCGTGAGCCACCATGTCTGGCCTGGGCAAGTTATTTCACCTCTTTGTGCCTCATTATTATTCCCATAACATTATTATAAATGTCTATCTTTTTAAAGCCACTAGTTTTTTGGGGCCTTTGTTACCCACAGCCAAAACTAATACCTTTATTTGGGTTCCATCCTGAGATGGTGGACCTTAGGGGCAGGCCAGGCAGTGACCTGGACTGAGGAGGGGCAGGGCCTAGGCTGTGGTGGGAGCAAGGAGTCAACAAAATCTAGGGACACCCGGGAAGGCTTCTTAGAAAAGATGCAGATCCTGGGGAACAGTGAGCCCCAAAGTGGCTTGAGCTTGAAGGGGTAGATGGGCATTGTGGGAGAGAGAGTGGGAAAAGGGGAGGAGTTTTGGGAATTCCAACATTAGGGAGCTGAGGAGAAGGAGCCAGAGATGTGGACGGCAGCGGCCGGGGGTCTTTGAATGGTGGAGGCATGAGGGGGAGTGGAGTTTCTGAATGGTGGTGGCATGAGGGGGAGTGGAGTTTCTGAATGGTGGTGGCATGAGGGGGAGTGGAGTTTCTGAATGGTGGTGGCATGAGGGGGAGTGGAGTTTCTGAGTGGTGCTGGCGTGAGAAGAGTGGAGTTAGTGAGTGAGGGAGAGGCTTGAGGGAAGGAAGTGGGGGTGGGAGGTAGAGGAGAGAAGAGAGAGGAAGATTCCAAGAAAGGCCAGGCCCAGGGACGGAGCTTCCAGGATAAAGCTGTTGCTGAGAGTTGGCTGGTGGCAGCTGAGGACAGAGGCGGCGGTGGGGTGGGGGGTGGGGAGGTAGGAGCAAGGATTGGGAAACTAGAAAGTCGGGAATCAGGGCCAGCCTTGGGGAAATTTCCATTCCAAAAAGGAAAAGCCCAGGAGCATTTGATCTGTCCTAGCAATGGACACAGCTGGCCTCTTCCTCCCTCACTCATTTGTTCAACGAACATTGGCTGGTGTTTCTGAGATGAGCTCTGATCCAGACCCTAGTATGGGGAAAGAATCCAAACAGTTTGGGGTGCAGATGAGGAAACAGTTCATCCAGTAAACAATACTTACTAAGCACCTCCTATGTGCCAAGCACCATGCTGGGCCCTCATGGAGGAGACAGGTAATAATGAAACACATGCATACCTGGATCATTACGGCTGGGGAGGAGAGCTCAGATCATAAAGAGGACCCAGGCAAGGAAGGTCTCACTAGGAAGAT